TGAAACAAACTAACATACTGTATAAAGAAATTAGCTGTAACATATGCACTGCTGAGCAACAAAGACAGTGAAACTGCCTTTGTTAGCATATAAGGCTACGCACCAGTGTGCGGGAGATGCAGAGTAAAAGCCATTCTCCCAGATCAACAGTTACCTTTCCCTCTTATACCCTGAGCAAAGCATTGTCAAACATAAGTGAAAACCAACCCCCAAAACCAGCTGAACGTGAGAACAAAGTTGAAGAGATGAAGTGGGGGAGAAGTACATTAACATACTCTCCTCAGGCCATGACCCAACAATAGTAAATATGTTGTAGATTGAAACACAATTAATCGATGTCTCTGTTGATTTCATCACTACAACACTGAAGTCATAAACTGTCAAATGACACCAAACATGACAAAGTTATCTGAAAGAAGAACACGAGCAGATGAATTGTGTATGGTGAAGAGCACATGGTTACTGTAAGCAAATGGCAGAGATGTGTATCGGAGCTGTGAGGAACTCTGCCTCACCAGGAGGACCCATCCCATGCTTGGAATATCTCAGTAGTCCTTCATTAGCATAGAAGGAAAAATATATAATATTTTCTCAGCTTACATTTGTGATTATTAATCTGCAACCAACAACCTGCAGTATTTTATAATATGGTGGCCTTTAGCATTATTGTGCAATATATGAACTGTGGATTACACTAGAGGCCACATCTGCATCTGACACCATATTAAGTGATTGAAAAAGTGTTGATTCAATTAGTGAATGAATGAATGAATGAATAAATGAGATACTCACTGAATGAGTGAATGTTAGTTGCTGAACTGCTTTTCTCTTGTCATTTAAAACCTTTTCATTTCCTGATGAACTGTGGCCTATTTGACAAGATGTTTCGCTGTTAAATGGCAAATCATAAATAATTTAGTTATAAAAATATTGTTTCTATATGTATTAAATATATGTGATATATATGAGTCACTGGGCGTTGCAGGCACTGTTATTCAATGGTTCAGATCTTACCTCTCTGACAGGTCATTCAGGGTGTCTTGGAGGGGAAAGGTGTCCAACCTACAGCATCTAAACACTGGGGTACCTCAAGGCTCTGTTCTTGGGCCACTTCTCTTCTCCATCTACACGACATCTCTAGGACCAGTCATTCAGAAACATGGATTCTCCTACCACTGCTATGCTGATGATACCCAACTATACCTCTCTTTTCACCCTGATGATCCCTCGGTTCCAGCTCGCATCTCAGCCTGCCTGTCGGACATTTCACACTGGATGAAAGATCCTCATCTTCAGCTTAACCTTGCGAAAACAGAAATGCTTGAAGTTTCTTCCAACCCGACTCTGCACCACAGTTGCCTTTAAATAGCACAACATTGTGATTAACTATTCAGTACAATAAACTTTACTATGTGGTTCTAAAATACTATAGTATTTAGTTTAAATAACTATATTTTATTTGGGACCGTACTGCTGTTTATTTTTATCCAAACAGTGCCATAAGACCAATAAAAAGTCAACTTTACTTCATCATTTATCATTTCAGATGTATGGAGAGTCAAGAATCCTAATACCAATCAGTTCTCTTGGATCAAACCTAATGGGTCATCTAGGTCACGAATAGATTTTTGGCTCATAACTGAGGAATATCTGGAGCTTGCGAACCAGGTTTTAATTTCTGCTGCACCATTGACAGATCACTGTTTTATTTCATTAACTTTGACACCAGTAAGAAAAAATACTACTAAGAAAGACTATTGGAAGTTCAGTGCAGAACTTTTAAAGGATAAAGTTTATTGTAGTCAAATTAAAAAACCTAATTAGTGAGGTTGAGAATGATTTCTCTTTAAATTCCAGTGGGATTAAATGGGAGTACTTTAAATTTAAAACAAGGGAAATTTCTATTCGGTTTGGTAAACAAAAGAGAAGCGATATATTGCAAAAAGAATTAAGAATAATTCAGGAAATTAATGATTGCTGTAACACACGATAAGGTTAAAGATGTGGAAAAGTGAATCACTCTTCAAGCTAAATTAGACAGCATGTATGTAATGAAAGCACAAGGAGCTTTTGTAAGGTCTCGGGCAAAATGGATGGAAGAAGGAGAGAAGAACACAGCTTACTTTTGTCAATTAGAAAAGAGGAGACAGCAAAGTAATGCAATTCATACTTTAGTTATTAAGGATACAATAATTACGGATTCTAAACTGATATCTGAGGAAATATATTCATTTTATAGTAATATTTATTCTACATCATATTCTGAAAATAATGCTATACAATTTCTAGAAAAGGTTAAAGATTATATCCCACAGATAGATATTGAATTTAAAGAAATGTGTGATGAGGATTTGAAGCTAGAGGAACTTAAAGCAGCTATTAAAAAAATGTGTTTGGGTAAGTCTCAACTATGAAACAGGGCTTAATTATTCTTATTCCAAAGGCAAACAAAGATAAAAGAATTATTGAGAATTTGAGGCCGATTACTCTACTCAATGTGGATTATAAAATTCTTACATCTGCTATAGCTAATAGATTGAAATTTAGATTGAATCAAGATATAAGTGAAACTCAGTCTGGTTTTATTAAAGGAAGGCTAATTCACAACAACATTAGACTTGTCTTAGATCTAATTGATTATGGACATTTAATTAAAGAGGATGGGTTTGTTTTATTTCTTGACTTCTACAAGGCATTTGATACTGTAGAACATAATTTTATTTTGAATTTTTTTGGTTTTGGTCATAAATTTGTTAAAGTAATAGAAATGTTATATAAAGACAAAAATAGTTCAGTATCATTACCATTTGGGACTTCGAAGAGGTTTAACATTAATAGAGGCATCAGACAAGGGGATCCAACAAGCCCATATTTATTTATTTTAGTAGCTGAATTATTAGCATTGTATGTTAAAAATTGCAGAGCTATCAGAACTTTGAATGTTTTAGGGAGTCAATTAATAATAAGTCAACTAGCAGACGATACCACCCTGTTTCTCAGTAATGCAGAGCAGATTTCAGTTGCCATTAATCTGGTGTCTCATTTTTCAAATGCTTCTGGTCTGCAATTGAATTTAAAAAAATGTGAGCTTATGGCAATCCATAACCATACCGAAACACAACTGTTCAATATTCCAGTTAAAAATGAGGTAAAATACTTGGGTGTTGTTATTTCTAAAGACCCTAAAGATAGGGAAAAAGCTAATTTGATGGATAATTTGATAAAAAGTCAAAAAATATTAAATTTGTGGGTTCAAAGGGATCTATCTATTTTTGGTAGAATTGTTTTACAAAAGTCAGAAGCACTTTCCAGGATGATTTACCCAGCTTTTTCTTTAAGTATTTCTGATAGGTACGTTAAAAATCTGAATCAAATGCAATATAAATTTCTATGGAAAAATAAGCATCATTTTCTAAGAAAATCAGATGTAGTGAAACCAATCATTGAAGGTGGATTGAATGTAATTGATTTTGATGTTATGAATGGTACCCTTAAGCTGAAGTGGCTTCAAACCTTCCTTCGACATAAACATTCTTTCTGGTTTAGGTTTTCTTCTAAAATTTTTGATTTCTTTGGGGGCATAGACTTTCTTTTAAGATGCGATTTTGAGCCATCAAAGTTAAAGTGTAAATTGTCATCTTTTCATAGTCAGGTATTACAGTATTGGAAGTTAATATACAAACATAATTTTTCGCCACATAGCTGTTCTTTGTGGAATAATAAGTATATACTTATTAAGAGGAAATCTGTGTTTTTTCAAGAGTGGATGGACAAAGGTGTTTGGTCTATTTTACAAATTTTGGATGGGGTTGGAAATTTCCTTAATTATGATGATTTTTGTGAAAAATACCATATTATTTGTACTTAGAAATTGTATTTGTCTTTGTTGAAAGCTATTCCTGGTGGTTTGGTTCAGCTAATCAAAGGGGAATTGGGTTATTCTTCTGTGATACCAAGATTGGGCAACCTTATTATTTCTGGTATTAATTTTACTGGGCAGAGCTGTAATAATAAGACCTTAAGAAGGTTAGTAAATACACAGCTTTTCCCTTCTAAAGTTAAGAAAAGACCCCTTGTTTTAGATTTTCCAGAAGACAAGGTGGTTCGAATTCGAACAAGATTTCTCTCTTTTCCACTTCTACCAAAGGCAAAAGAAGTTCAGTTTAAAATTCTTAACGATATTTATCCTTGTAATGAGTTCCTCAGACACAGATTTAATTTGGATTGTAACGTTTGTACCTTTTGTGAAGCAGACATAGAGTCATTGGAACATTTGTTTTATTTATGCAAATTTTCAAAAAAGTTATGGGATGACATTACTGTTTGGTTAAGATTAAAATATGTAATACCTGATTTTGATTTTAAAACTGTTAAATATTTATCTTTTTGTCAGAATTCTGAGCTGGAATTTTTGGTTAACAATATTGTGACTTTGGCAAACTATTTCATTCATAAATGCAGATTTTTTAATAACCCCCCCACTTTTCTGCGTTTCCACAAGGATTTAATGGTCTTCTTCAATTCCTTAAAGCTGATGAGACATAAAAAAGCCCTTAAACTGTGTAGTCTGTTAAAGGCATTTTTTGATGATTAACCCCTTTGTATCATAGTGCATTGTATTTTGCTTTTTATTTATTTCAATTTTATTATTTTTTTAATATATATTTATTTGTTTTTTTATCTGTTTTTTGTGTGAATGCTGCTATTTGGACTTTCTAGATTAATAAGATGTTTCTTTGTTCGGTCATTTGTTCTTTTTTCTGTATGTTCTTATAAGATCTAATAAAAAAATATATATATATATATTGCACCATCAAAAAATAAAAAAAAAAACTTTAAAACGGAAAAACAAATCGCCAATAGGTGGCAGCAAGAGACCGCTTTAATCGAGTGAAGCTTTAAGTGATTCATTCAGCCACGAATCACTGATTCAGTGACTCGCCCGACTTTATACAGAGTCCTGAATCATTCGTGTAAGGAAACGCCACTGTGTACTGTTCAGAGATGTACAACTGTTCTGCTGTTTATTTTATTATTATCATAGTAATGATTTCACTATTATTAATGAGAAAATAACGCGGAAGTTTTTTAGCGCCTTGTCACGTGATCGTCAGCATCCATGGCAACGGTTCTTTTTGTGTTGTTTTGAACTTGCTCTGTCATTGGCATCTGATCTCGGCGTCCTTCGTGGCAACTGATTCCCAGATTATTGATATTATTGATTGTTGGATACATCGATTGATCGCCTGCTTCTCCCATCATTCAGGTTTGACCCTTGTTATCACACTGTGTTTTGTGTTTAGTATGTCTTGTGTTCATTACAGGTTTCAGAGTCGACTCACCTACGACTCGCTCCAGTTTGAGGGCCTCAACATCACTGTGGGAGAGCTGAAGCGGCAGATCATGAGGCGCGAGAGGCTGAAGTTCTGCCAGCTGAAGATCAGCAAAGCCCAAACTGATGAAGGTGAGATGAGGAAAAGCCCCTTAAACTATACTACACTAACATTAGATGTGTTATCAGACAGACTTGTAGAAGCTGACATGTGTTATCATGACTCTGATGGTGACATATAGTGATGTTTTGAGTGTTTTAAAATGCTAATGGCACTCAAAGTATACCATGGTAAATGATTATTACTATATTCAAACTTTATTTTGCTGTCAGAATACACAGATGATGATGCTCTCATCCCCAAAAACACGTCGGTCATCATCAGACGGGTCCCTGCGGCTGGACTGAAGTCCTCCAACAGAAGATTTGTTGGGTAAGTCATGTGAAATGAGCGCAACCATCCTCTGAGAGATGTTATATCAAGAGTTTGAGTCTGTCTGTGGTGTTTTAGTCACACAAGCTCCTTTGTTTTGCAGACATCAAGCTGGACCATCAGCTAAATCTTCTCAAACAGGTGATTCTTCACTCCTCTCACTGGAGCAGCTGTTGAAGGTATTGAACAAATGATTAATTCACCCCACTGTGCTGCTCTGTATTGAACTGCAGTGTTTGCATTTGAGGAGTCATAATGACATGTAGTGCAGAATATCAATACACAGTGTAACCACCCCCTCCCCCCCCCCCCCCCCCCCCACACACACACAGCTTCTTAGACAGACCAGTAAAATAAAATTCTAATGTGCAAATGCCTGTGAAACAGACTGAGAATTTGGCTGAGGCAAAGGCATCAGAGGAGGACAAGCTAAAAGCGGTGATGTACCAGTCCAGTCTGTGCTACTACTCCAGCAGGTGAGCGTTCAGACACTGACAGGTTTGGTTTGTGAGAAATGTTAGAGCTGATTCTCATGGTTCTGATGTTCATCAGTGAGGCCATGACACTGCTTGGGCTTCTTCCACCCAACTATGTCTGCTTTCACTGTGGGATCCCAGGACACCACATTAGGCACTGCCCCTCTAAAGGGGTAACTGGGTTTTCTAAGCTTATGGTTGCTGTGAACTTGAGCTCTTGACTCCATCAGTCAGATTGTTTGCTCTGTCGTTTGACTGTCACTCATGAATTCACAGGGCAGCAGCTCTGCTTCGCACAAGCGCATCAGGAGGAGCACAGGGATTCCCCGCAGCTTCCTGTTGGAGGTGGACGACCCAAACCGAAAGGGAGTCATGATGGACGGCAGCGGCAAATACGTCATTCCCATCATAGACGCGTGAGTAAACTGTACTTGGCATTGCAGCATGTTCTATTGTTTGTGAAAACCTCACATTATGTCTGCTTGTGTGTGTTTGCGCTCGATCTGTTCAGTGAGGCCTATGCTGCTGAGAAGAAAAAGAGGCCGTCCTTCTCCTGCCAGACCAAGCCGCTGCCCTCCTCTTCCTCAGCTGGTGCAGCATCTTCAGTCCAGGACGCCAGAGGGAAACGTTCCCGCTCCCCATCTCCACCAGAGACGCACGGCGACCAGAAGAGACCACGTCACTGAGAGACCTTCACCCAAGAGACCTGGAGCCGACGTGAGCACAGTGTATATATTGTACATAGTTTATGAATAAAACTGAATAAAGATTATAGCAGCATAAACTGTGGACTGGTTGACCTTCACACAATACAGAAACACAACAGAAAATGATCAACACATTAAGATAGAAATGATGAACAAACATGCTGCGGGAGAACCAGTGTGCTGTCCTGCTCAGAATCTAAAACTTTTAGTTAAAGTTTATTTCAGAGGTGCTTCAGGGAAACTTTTTCTTATGAAAGGCCAAAAACTAAACTCGTCTGAGGGTGGTGGGCTGGAGGTAAATCTACCAAACTGTAAAATTGTCAATGTAATTTCCTAGTTTATTATTATTATTCATTATATAATTTACATGATTCACTGAATCCCACTAACCAGAGTTGGTGCTGGTCAAAAGGAGACCCTAAGATAATTTTTACTGCGGTGCTTCAGCAGAGAAACAAAAACACACAAACATATGTATTTAAATGTGTATTCATTTATTATATATAAAAATATGCATATAAACACTCAACATTAAATGTTTCATAAAATAACAGTTTACGTAAAAATAAACACTGACATGTCTTCTGCAGAAGGATTCCTAATTGCAAACATTTACAAAGGTTGTCATAAAACCCTGTCTGAAGCTGTAGAGATAGACGGTCCTCGGTGCTGCATGCTGTATCTGTAACGGTCAGCTGCTGGGCCCGGTTTTTCAAAAGGTTTAATCCGGATCAAATTGATCCAGATTTAGTAATTCTGTTTTTGCGATCCGTGATCAGGTAATCCAGCTTACTTTTTGAGCCAGTTTTTCAGAGCAACATCGAATTGGATCAAACTGATCCGGATAGGAACTTTTCAGGATCACTAAATCTGGATTACCAGTGCTCAAACAGGATAAGAAATCACAATGTAGAACTATAGATATGTCAAGAGCGACAAGTAGAATAGCCAGCGTGGGGTCAACATAACTTTATTTTTTTTTAAATGAAAACTTAATAAATATTAAATTAATAATAATAATAAATAATAAAAACAAGAAAAACAACACCGCATCCTCTTCCAGCATTCCACTCATCTGAGACCTACAACACTGTACATTGAGGATATTTATAATAAGTTTCAAATATAGATGTAAATAAAAAAAAGACTTAATGTCAAAAACTCCACAATAATCTTAGACTTCCTCATCTGATGTGGAGAGAGCAGCTTGTCTGAGCGTAGCCTTTAGGAGGCGGATCTCATGTCCTTGGCCTTGGTTTGCTGCAGTTTGGTCAGAGTCAGTTGTTCCCCCGCCAGACGAAGCTGTGCTTCTGCCCTTTCAGTCTCTTTTTGCAATTGTTGAAAGAGATTTCAAAAATCAGTCATTGCCATTCTTTGCATTTTTTGTTTATTCTGTAATCATTGCATGCATCACTAATAAATATTCTAAAAAGAAAAATATTTTTCATTGTGATGAATATATATATCAATTAGAGACAAAATAAAATTGATTGTTTTTGGTCAATTTTCACAGCTGTTTGGGGGATTATTTTATGAGGCCAAACTCTTTCTACTTTGCTGGAGGCCTATACTGAAAGGCTAAATACATTAAAGCCAATAATCACTATAGCCTGACGGATGAACAAATAAAATTAAAACCTTATGAATAAATAGTATATATCGTAAGATACTGCATGATCCAAAAATAGTATTATTTAATACATTTTTTAAGTTTTCATTACATTTTAGGCATGAAATCCACGCTAAATCCACCCTTCTGATGGGATCAGTTTAATCCAGGTTTTTTGGATCAAAGTGATCCAGATCCTACAAAAAAGGTCTGAAAAACCCAAACTAAAGGTTTGATCCGGATCTAAACCAAGATTAGATTACGTGATCTAATCCGATTAGGTAATCCGTTTTTTTCTTTTGATAAACCCATTTTCAAGATTTGATCCAATCCCTTATCCAAAATCCAAGTGGATTACTTTTGAAAAACCGGGCCCTGGTGTCAATTTTCAAAACTCTAGATACAAAATTCACAACCATTGCTAAAATTACACATTTTTTTGCAAAACCCTTAACTCTTTTTTCAAATGCTTGGATAAAACACACACAAGTCAAAAATACTTTGTTCATTGAACTCAAATCACCTTTTCAATATAACACAATTAAACTTCAAATTGATCCCATTTCAAAATGCAACTCAAACATTACAATTGAAATAACCATGTATTCATTTAATTAACATGTTGTTATTATCAACTGACACAAGCACTCAAAATAATAATTAACTGTTGCATTACTCTGGATTTATGGAAACTTTTGTACAATATTACATGTTTAGATGATGAAATAATCAGGATAGATCAAATGACATCAGTTACCACAGAAGATGACCCAACTGAACTACATTATCTATAGATGACATCTTTATTCATCCTTAATTTTTTATATTTATGGTTACTTTGTTCCATGTACCACTTTTACAGACAATGTTTTTATATTTGACATTACTGTATGTATGTGAGAAAGCCCAATCACAGCAATATCAGGCCTGGATTCACATTGACAGAAGGTTCTTTCCAAGATTTTTGACTTATGAAAACACCACTGTGATGTAGAGGAGAACCAAACCCACAAGACCAGAAAGATGGAAACCCAGATCCTAAAATAGAAATCTGATATATAGAAATATATGCAAATTACATATGTGACATAATAGTTCATAAGAATTTTACATATATAAAATGTCATACATGTCAAAATATTGCCATTTTTTACAGTTTTTCTTGTTTGCTTTGACCTGGTTAAAGAAACTAGGTTCCACTTCATTTTCATTTTCACTATCCCAGCAGAGCAGAAGACAGGTCTTGCAAATTTGTAAACCTTTTCTCATTGGGTTGACACATTTTCCTTAGCATTTTTCAAAACAGTTAACACAGATTTCATTCAAGCAGTCCAAACTCCATTGTTTTAGCTATGGTAACCAAACAGAGACCATCTATTCCTAACCATTAGACACTACCAAGATCAGTTTGAATTCACTGAAGCAGCGATTTGAAACTCCTACACTCAAGTCTTCAATTAGCAATCAGTCTGCAAACCTTATATAAATGGTGGAAGGTCTGTGTTGTTCTGTGCCAGCATGGATGGAGGAAGTCAATAGTGGCTATGTCCTATACTCCCAAAAGATTTGACTGTATATTGGTTTAAATGTGTTTAATATTTACAGTATTTTATTACTTTTGTCTGTTTTTACAGTATTTTAGTTTTCAGCCACAGTTTGAAAATTGTCATGAATTCAATATAAATTTAATCAAAGCATTTCTTATTCTGGATCCAATTCTTTGCAAAAAGGCAAACTTGACGGCCCAAATAGAAAGACAACAAATGGCATTGGCAAAAGGCTACAATGACAAGCAATGGTGGTGCACTGACTTCTATATTTTGTATTTTGTTGTCCATTGTGTAATGATTAATTCAAAGAGCTCATATATTTGTTTGCAAGTTGTGTTGTTTGAAGGTAAAACTAGCTTTTGTTTCATATTTTAAATGTTTTGACACGATATGTGCCTTTTGCAAGCAAAATGTGTCATTTTGACCATGAGTGCTGCTGTTTAGGCCTGTGTGTCTACTGTTTTGAAAAGGTGGAGTTTCAGTTGACAACTGCATCCAAGCAATCGAGAAAAACTGTGACTATTAGAATTACAAATATAAACATGTATGTTACGTATATATATATATATATGATCTATTATGTTATATATTTTACCCCTAAAAATATTTTACCTATAATTTTACCTATATTATGACATTTTATAATAATGTAATTTGCACATGTTGCCATATATCAGCTTTCTATATGGGGATGTGCAGTGAGGAAAACATTACAGTAAACCTACATTATGATGGAATGAATAAAACTAGATCAGTATATCCACTGTCTGCACCGTTCCCTCTACACTTATGCATAAACCATCATGAAACCTGTATCATATATTTTAAACAACAATATTTAATGATTATTAATGATTGTTTATTGAAACAATGTGCATTTTGTGTGCTGGTGATCTAAAGTTGTGTTCCTGTTATAGGTGCCATATTACTTTTCATTTAATTGTAATGTTTATTTGTATACTGATTGGTTTGGGTTTCACAGTGACGTTTTATGTTTTGGTCACGTGGGCATAATTGGCACCTGCTCGAACATATAAAGCGCGTGCACAATCACACAGGTGAGGAGGAGAGAAGGAGAGTGGGGTAGCCGTATTTTTTGTTGACCGCAAACAGCAGCGCAAACCAAGCAACGCAAAACTGTATCACAACGGCACACGCAACAATCATCACACCAACGCAATAATCGGCACTATACAAAACAGGTATTCAAAGACACAAATTGCTGTATTGTTTTTTCATGCTTCAAGTTACATAAAGTTTTCCATATAACATCTTGGGCTCAGTGTCTCTGTCTAAAGCCACCAGCGCGTCACAAATATAAAGGACCCTCACTGCCTCTCGAGCGACTTATGGGAGGCATCAGGAAGTCGCAATATTTTGTCAACAAAAAACGGCATCTTATCAGGAAAATCATCGCTCGCAAAATCAGCGCACAGACGAATCAGGAAGACGCCAAGTAAGTGATGCGATTGCAAGCCAAATGGGCCACGTCATGTGTTCGTTTACATAGGACAGATAAGTTTATCTGTGGATGTATGTGTGGATGAGGAATCTGGTTGGAATTGGTGCATGTTAAAGTTGTTTGGAATGCAAATCGGATGCGCGAGGTCGCGCGACTTACTTTGGTGTCGGTAGGAAGTCTGCACTTTGCGGCTTGTTTGTGTGATGCCGTGATGTTGTTTGGAAGGAAAATGAACTGCTGTTGAATTGAATCGAATCGTTTGAGCGTGTTCAAACCAAGCGGCAACCTCCCGCTCTCCCTCAGGAAGCCAATACGGAAGTAACTAAAACTGCAATTCATCCGAAATTCCGCTAGTCGTGGCCGCTCCTGGCTCCAAAACAGAGCAAATTTCAATTGAGCCCACTGTTAGAATGGCCAACTTTACAGCAGAAAAAAAGGTGTTTACAGCCTGG